ACACTGAGCATCAATACTAAGTGCACCTATAGTTATAAGTAGTTGCACCTAGGTGCATGAATGTTTGCGAGTGGTTCTCAGGGGTATTACTACCCGCTGAACTCAGATCAATGAATGTTAACAAGGCAAAATTACATGCACTTATAGGTGAAAGTAGTTGCACCTATAGTTATAAATAGTTGCACCTATAGTTATAAGCACACCCAGGTGCATGAATGTTTGCGGGAAGTGAATGCTAACAAGGCAAAATTACATGCACTTATAGGTGAAAGTAGGTGCACTTGTAAGTAATTTTACTTGCACTTCGATGTTTAATTATTTACGAAAATGCCACCGTGTTTTTTTAAGCTATTAGATCTGGACACGTGACGCGCGCTGATTCGTTCGCATATTCCTTCCGGGCACTTATTAGCACCTGAGTGCATCCCTATATATATATATATATATATATATATATATATATATATATATATATATATATATATATATATATATATATATATATAACAACCAACATGGAATTTATAATCCTCCAGATTATAATTCTAACCAAAAGAAATGAAGATGAAGAAAGATGGTTAGTACGAGTCGAGCGAAACAACACTCTTTCCTTAAAACCTTATTTGCTGCCTTCCAAAAGTGCTAGGATGTAGCCTAGGTTTCCCAGTATAAAACGTACTACGGTTCAACGTTTGAGCACCCAAACGAATGAACCCGACGAACAAGAGCACGGGCAGAACACAGTTGCAAGAAGGAGTAGGAGCAGAAATAGCATTTAGTTGGCATTCATACTGATATTAAATCGGTTCAAATCGTGAGAATTAAAACTCAGCTCATGAGCCAAACCTATTAGGTTCGGGTCGTACACGAGTCAAGTCTTTTCAAACGCAATTTGGGATTTGATTTGCACCCCCTTGCGCGCGAGAGAGCCTCTATCCTATACAATTCAATAAGTCATTGAAAGGCTCTTGTATAAATAGTGGTGCAAATCCACTTCCCAAACTAATGTGGGACAAAAGCTCATTCTTTTTCCCTTCATTTTTCCAACTTAATGGGTCTACTTTGAGAATCAATATCTTATTCTCCCATTATCCTTTTTGAGCGTACAATATATGAATCTCTTCGTCTCACTATGAACAACCCGAATCCACTTTGACCTGACCCAAATCGGAAGTAGACCCCACTGATAATTGTACCACAAAATAACCACTTAAAATGCCATTTTAATTCTATTTTTCCAATAGAAGAATATCTTGTACCACTCCACCCGGTTCTATGAAACTAGCATGCATCCTAGCTCCCGAGACTCGTTCATAGAATTCAAACAATTTTGCGCGCTCCTCAAAACCCCATAAGAACGAATTGCACTCAAAGAGTTTTAAAATGCACTGTCAAGCATTTCTAAATGGACAATAGTATTACAGAAATGACACCACACATTTTTCATATTTTTGTTTATTTTTCAATCGTTAGATCTACAAGATAGACGAATCATATGTAATAGAGCTAGTAGCATTCAAAAAAAAAAATATTTGTCCACACTTCTCACCTATAGGGTCAGTTTTATAATTATTGTAAGCTTTTAAGTTTGCAATATTTATAAAACTGATCACACTCACTTTCCCCCTCACTTTTAACAACTTTCAACCGTTGATATACCTAAATAGATAGATCATATCCACCCTCGCTTTTTACATGAGATCAACAAATTAAATTGACAGGTCTAAACTCTTAAGATTGAGCACCGACAACTTTAATGTGAGAGTTTCACCCATTATATATAGTGAACTCCTTATATAAAGAATAAGAGTTTCACCCATTATAGTGAACTCCTTATAAGGAGTAAGCACTGATCTTCCCAATTAAGATAGTATTCCTATCTTAATTTATCCCTCCACTAATCTTCTCCCAAAATGTTGAATCTCCAACCCTAAAGGCCTTTCATTCGACTCGACAGAGCAATTTACTTTGGACATAATTTACACCCTACTACTGCTGAGATTTAAATATTGATCTCTTCTCACAAATACTATGAACCAGTGAGTTAAACTCCTAGTGCATCCCTCCCCTAATCTTTTTAATCTTTTTGAGGATGGGGAATTTTCTGCCAACGTTTCACTCATGTCATTTTCAATTTGTCATATCGACTCTAAACGCGGTTTGAGTGTGTATTTCCACAATCATTTTTGGTAAACTATATCGTTGACTGACTGAAGCCTTCCAGCCTTCCAACATCAATCTTCAATCCATATTTTCCATCATCATCTAAGAATGATGAGTAGTGAGAATATGATAATTTTAATCAACTCAATCTTTTATTTAATATTATTTATTTATTAGATAATTCAATAAATAATAATAACAATTATTTGGAAGAATTATTTAACAAAGTATCAAATTAAAATTCCAAAAATCCTGCAAAATTTTGGTGCTCTCCTCCCCAAATGATAAGTACCAAAAAGTATTTATTTGCACTTTATATTTAATGTCTAAGTCATAACTATCATAAATATTTTGGTAACTATCATAAATATTTTGGCTGTGAAGTAATGGTTGTTGGAAAATAAGTCTGATAAATAGGAAAAAATAGGGATTTAAAATCTTAGAAATAATTCAAATAAAGTCAACTATGTACTTAAGATTACTCCCAAAAAAAATACATGAGGATATAAAACTATGTATAAACATATGCCATTTGAAAAGTCCATTCAAAAAACCTCCTTTCACACACCAACGTGGGGATAAAAGAAAAAAACATAAAAGTCAATCGAATCATGATCATGGAATTGTTAAACCAGCAATAATCCTACTATACGTTCTCTTTCAAGCCTTTGAACCAGTCCCTGGAGAGCTGCTTTTGCTAAAACTCGAGCAGTTTCTTGAAAACTCGCTCCTGATATGAAACTTTTGATCGAATATTGAGAGATGCTTTTGTTATTCTCAATAAAAGGGCTGGATAACAGATTGCATGCTTAGCTTCTTCTAAAGCACGTACGCCCTATTCAAAACCTGAAGAAATATAAATAATCTCCCAATTAGCTTCATCATGGGTGGTTGTCTGCCTATAAGTCCTCTTCCTTTATTCATCTTTGTTTGTATGATAGCTGAGTTTGGGTTTTGTTCCAGAAACCCAAACCCCATTTGCAGAAAAGATGAGAAGCAGGCCTTGCTGTGCATCAAGAAGGGTTTAATTATAAATCATCCACAGAGTCGGCTTTCGTCTTGGGTTGACTGGCATAATTAATGGCGCGTATTTAAGTGGCGATGGTCACCTAGGCTGACCGAACCTCTGTTGATGACGACTCTCGGGACTCGGCTCAGTCTACGCAAATTATATCATGCACCGCGGTGTATGATCGATCATGCACTGCGCATCAAAACGAGGTCGTTATGTTTAATGAAAAAGAAACAGAATCTTCGCAAAAAATAACTATGTTTTTCAGTTTCATTTTGTATACACTGCAGTTCAACACAACTACAGTTTCATTTCGATATAACTACAGTTTCATTCAATATTTATACACTCGAATATGTGAAAATGTTATTTAATTTTATTTTATATACACTATAGTTTCATTAAAACACAACTACATGATCATTTCAATATAATTACAGCTTCATTGTAACTTACACTCAAATATGTGAAATGTTATTCAGTTTCATTTTATATATACTTTAGTTTCATTTCACCACAACACTTTCATTTTGATATAACTGCAGTTTCATTTGATAATATAAAAATAATACGTGAGACAGTGTCAGATTTAGACACACTGTAGTGTCACTCCGTTATAACTGCAGAAACAACGCCGTTTTAACACGCGGTGCATAATAGATTATGCACCGCGGTGCACGATATAACGACTGCTCTGTCTATTTCTTGGCCTCTTGGGACGAGGTCCTCTTGGGCCTACAGAGCAGATTTTATTTCTTGGCCCAATTCTAGAAAGCCCATATTTCTTGTTTATTTTCTTTATTTGGGCCCCTAGCTCATTGGGGTCCGCAAATTATGCCCTGGATCCGTGTCCACAATGCATGTCCATTGTGGACACGAGTCAAAAATGACGTCGTCTTCAGGGAAAACGCGTCATTCCAGTTTTAAAAAAAAAAATTGATTTTCTCCGTTAACGGCGTTATTCGTTTGTGGGATTATGAATGTACAGTTATGACGTTATAAATGTACAGTTATGAAATTATGGAATTATGAACACAGAGGTCTGACATTATGAACTTACAATTATGAACATATAGTGATAAAATTGTGAACATAGAGCTTCGAAAATTATGGATGTACAGTTATAGAGTTATGAATGTATAGTTATGGGATTATGAATGTACAATTATTGAATTATGAACACAGAGCTCTGACATTATGAACTTACAATTATGAACATATAGTGATAAAATTATAAACATAGAGCTCTAAAATTGTGAACATAGAGTTTCGAAAATTATGAATTTACAGTTATTGAATTATAAATGTACAGTTACGGAATTATGAATGTACAATTATGGAATTATGAATGTACATTTATGAAATTATGAACATAGAACTATGACATTATGAACTTACAATTATGAACATATAGTGGTAAAATTATGAACATATGCTTCTATAACGAAGCGATCTGAATTTTTTTTTTAAAAAAATAAAATGGAAGATAACGGTGCCACTAACGGCACCGTTACCGTGTCCACACTGTAGGCTAGACACGGGTCCATAGCATAACGATTGATTGGGGTCCATACCCCATCAATAACCAAACATCATTATTTATAATCATTCTGATTCCAATCTACTACCAAACATGCAAAACACTTTCACTAAGACCCATTACCAAGTATTTGATACCCATTCTGATTACAATTGCGAACCAAATACACCCTTAATAATCAAAGGCAAAATCAGAAATAGTTTTACAATTAAATATACTGTTACAGGCTACATAAAAAGTGGACAATAAAGTTCACCATTAACAATATAATAATACAAGAAAAAAGTTATTAGAAAATACAATAAACAAGGAAAAATCCAACCCTATCCAAACCATTGCATCTTGAAAGAGACTTTAACTTGGAAGTAATATACATCACAGTCCAAACCACCTAAAAAGATACTTCAACTTATCATCTATAAACTGAAAAAAAAGTATACCTCCAAGATTTCACAGCAAACAAAGGTCCCAAGATGCCACACCATCCCACAATAAATCCTATAGCCATGCTAATATAAAACCACTTTGCCTCAAAATCATCTCCTCTGTCTTCTTCTTCATCAGGAACATCATCATCATTGCTACATCCAAGGAGAGGAGGCCCACAAAGATTGTTACCAACATAACAAGATGCATTGAAGCTTTGAAGTTGAGTACCAGTAGGGATCTTCCCAGACAGATTGTTATAAGACAAATTCAAGTAACTCAGAAAGTTGAGATTTGAGAGACTGTAGGGAATTTCTCCAGAAAGATGATTTCTTGACAGATCAATGGATTCTAATTGCTTCATGTTTCCTATTTCCTTGGGAATGTTTCCTGTCAACTTATTTCCTGATAGGTTCAAGGATCTTAATTCTCCTAAAGTGGTCAATTCCATAGGAATTTCTCCCAAAAAATTGTTGTTGGAAAGATCAAAACTTGTAATCAACACAAATATAATGGCAAAGTACTGGTACTCTTGCCCTTTTGTTGTCACCACAGCACTTTCTTCATATAATTTTACCCTTTCAAGATCGATCTCTCTAATAAGGATCTTACTTTGCTCAACCATTGAAGTGAGATTGTTAATACACTTTGGGATTGTACCAATGAAGTTGTTATTAGCAAGGTCTAGTATCCGAAGAGATGTGAGATGGCAGAAATCCGGAGACAATTCACCGTGGAACTTATTTGAACGAAGCCTTAGAACTACTAAACTCGAAAGTGAACTCCCAAGCCAGCTTGCAATATTCCCTTCAAACTCATTTTCACCCAAGTCAAGTTTCCATAAACTGGTGCAATTTTGTATAGATGGAGGTATATTGCCAAAAAGTTTGTTACCGTCCAAGTCAAAAAATGACAATGAATTTAGAAGCCCAATAGATTTAGGAATTCTTCCACTTAAACTATTCTCTGCCATGTCTAAGACTCTCAAATTTGGCCAATTACTTCCACTTAAACAATCAGGAATTTGTCCTGATAAACCATTTCTTCTGAGGTGAAGACTTTTCATCATACTTCTTGATTCATTTTGAGGAGGACATAAGAAACGAATGAGATCTCCAGAGAAGAAATTGTTTGACAAGTCCAAATGAGTTATGTCAGAAGATGAGATTTGAGGCAATGGCCCACTGAATTGGTTGTGGGATAGATCAATGACAGAAATTTGAGAGGAAAAGTTCCAAAACCAAGTTGGGATTTCATCTTTGATCCCAGCATTAGATATATCAACTTCAGAAATCTCTTTTAGTGATTGCAACCAAACTGGAAATTGAGGACCCAAGTGCCAACTTCCCAGTCCAAGCCGGTCTATAAGGTGGAAAGGAGGCAACCAATCTGGACTCACTTTCAATGTTAATCTATTGCCAGATGCAAGGAAAAACACTAATTCTTTGAGATTAACAAAGTGATTTTCGGTCACAAGACCTTCCAGTGCATTATCAGAAAGATCCAAAAGTTGCAGCATCGGAAACATATTCCCCAGACCCTTGGGTATAGTTCCATTTATCTTATCAGAAAGATCCAAAAGTTGCAGCATCGGAAACATATTCCCCAGACCCTTGGGTATAGTTCCATTTATCTTATTACCTCTCAGGCTTAAATCTCTCAATGATGAAAATTTTTATGAGCTATCAAACATTGGACCCGAAAACTGATTATCTTGCAGAATCAGATAGATCGAGGAATTACAGATTTAGTAGAGATCCTAGGAAGCTGGGAATGGGACTTCCTTCAAAATCATTTCCGCTAAGGTCGAGGTGACTTAGCTGTTTCAATTCAAGCAAACAGGAACTAAGTTCACCGCCTGAACTGCGATTGGCGAGGTGGAGCTCAGTGACACGGCCAGTTACGTTGTTGCACAAAACTCCAACCCATTTTGCACAACAATCGTCTCCTTCAACCCAAGACGAAAGCGAACTCCGTGGATCATTTATAACTAAACCCTTCTTGAAGCACAGCAAGGCCTGCTTCTCATCTTTTCTGCAAATGGGGTTTGGGTTTCCGGAACAAAACCCAAACTCAGCTATCATACAAACAAAGATGAATAACTTAAAGGAACTAAGAGGACTTATAGGCAGCAGACAACCACCCATGATATGATGAAAGGAGATTATTATATTTCTTCAGGTTTTGAATGGGGCGTGCTTTAGAAGAAGCTAAGCAATCTGTTATCCAGCCCTTATATTGGGAATAACAAAAGCATCTCTCAATACTCGATCAAAAGTTTCATATCGGAAGCGAGTTTTCAAGAAATTGCTGGAGTTTTAGCAAAAACAGCTCTCCAGGGACTGGTTCAAAGGCTTGAAAGAGAACGTAGGATTATTGCTGGTTTTACAATTCCATGATAATGATTCGATTGACTTTTATGTTTTTTTATCCCCACGTTGGTAGTGTGAAAGGAGGTTTTTGAATGGACTTTTCAAATGTCATATGTTTATACATAGTTTTATATCCTCATGTATTTTTTTTTGGACTAATCTTAAGTCCATATGACTCACCCTGTGCACAAGGGATCCAAGTTTATAGTGAGATTCGAATCCCTACATTATCGCATTCAGTCATAGCGTTTAAATTAGACAATGAGCCAACTATATATACTAGAAGTCGTCCCATGACATTTATATCCCCATGTTTTTTTTTTCAAAAAGTTGATTCCTCAATCCCAATTTATATCCCGTATTCTTATTCTCATATGATCTAGTGTGAACGGAGGTTTTTTGAATGGACTTTTCAAATGGCGTATACTTATATTTAGTTTATATAAATGATAAGTTAAAGTCTCTTTCAAGATGGTTTGGTTAGAGTTGGATTGTTCCTTGTTTATTGTATTTTCTAAAAACTTTTTTCTTGTATTATTATATCCATTTAGGGGTGTAAACGAGCCGAGCCGAGCCCGAGCCTGCGTATGCTCATGCTCGTGCTCGTTAATGATAGCACTGCTCGAGCTCGAGCTCGAGCTCGTTCGAGCTTGTGAACTGATGCTCGAGCTCGAGCTCGGCAATTGTCGAGCTGCTCGAGCTCGAGCTCGAGCTCGAGTTTAGGCTCCAATTTGAGCTCAATTTTGATCTCAAATTTGACCTGTTTGATTTAAAATTTAAACTACTTTGTTTTATTATTTTTATCCATACATAATTATTAAAGTATTTTAATTTCCCTCCCCAAATTATTATTTTTTATATACTAAATATAATATAATTATATTATATATTATATATTATATACTAAATATAATAATATAATTATAATATAATTATAATATAATTATATTATATACTAAATATATTATAAGGCTCGTGAACGGCTCGTTGAGCCGCGAGCCTACAATACCTAAGCTCGGCTCGTGCTCGTTTAATCCACGAGCTGCTCGAGCTCGAGCCGAGCTCGATTTTGACCGAGTTCGAGCCGAGCGTTGACCGAGCCACTCACGAGCGACTCGCGAGCAGCTTGGCTCATTTACACCCCTATATCCATTGTTGTAAAAATCGGTCTAGGCGTCCGCCTAGGCGCTAGGCGCTCCTAAACCGTGACGATTTTTCCCTAGACGCTCGCCTAGGTGATCGTCCGCCTAGCGCCTAACTTGGCCGATTAGTGTCTAACTTAACCGAATTAACTTGTCCATTTCAATCGAGTTAACCCGATCAGCTTGGCCTTATATATATATATATATATATATATATATATATATATATATATATATATATATATATATATATATATATATATATATATATATATATATATATATATATATATATATATATATATATAGGGATGCACTCAGGTGCGAATAAGTACCCAGGAAGGAATATGCGAACGAATCAGTGCGTGACATGTGTCCAGATCTAATAGCTTAAAAAAAACGCGGTGGAATTTTCATAAATAATTGAACATCGAAGTGCAAGTAAAATCACTTACAAGTGCACCTACTTTCACCTATAAGTGTATGTAATTTTCCCTTGTTAGCATTCACTTCCCGCAAACATTCATGCACCTGGGTGTGCTTATAACTATAGATGCAACTATTTATAACTATAGGTGTAACTATTTATAACTATAGTTGCACCTACTTTCACCTATAAGTGCATGTAATTTTGCATTGTTAACATTCATTGATCTAAGTTTAGCGGGTAGTAATACCCCTGAAAATCACTCGCAAACATTCATGCACCTAGGTGCAACTACTTATAACTATATGTGCAACTACTTAGAACTATAGGTGCAACTACTTATAACTATAGGTGCACTTAGTATTGGTGCTCAGTGTAAATTTTTACTTGCACCTATAATACATTTTACATGCACTTGTAATACATTTTACTTGCACTTCGATGTTCAATTATTTACGAAAATGCCACCGCGCTTTTTAAAAAAAATCAATGTTTCTCAACCATTAGATCTGGACACGTGGACGGACAGAATCCATTCCTATTTCGGTCATGGGCGAAGCATTCGCACCTGAGTGCGATTCTCTCTCTCTCTCTCTCTCTCTCTCTCTCTCTCTCTCTCTCTATATATATATATATATATATATATATATATATATATATATATATATATATATATATATATATATATATATATATATATATATATATATATATATATATATATATATATATATATATATATATATATATATATATATATATATATATATATATATATTTGTGTGTGTATATACACACACATATGCATACATATATATAATATGACATATACACCGGTAGACTAGTTTGATACTTTGAATCTTTGGATGATTGAAGTATTTTGAGTATTTCATATTTAAGTATTTTTAATTTTTTATATCGTTTTGATGTTATGACTTATGAATTATCATTATTTCATTTATTTGGGTGTGTTATTTGATTGAATGTTGAAAACAGCCTCATTAAAATTGTCAAACTGCAAGTCTGCCACTGTTTTTTGGCGCCTGCCTAGCGCCGCCTAGGCGCCACCTAGATTCTACCTAGGCCGCTTCGGCACTGCCCGGGCGCCCAACTAGCGTCTAGCGCCTACTGCAACCATGATTATATCAAAGGTGAACTTGTCCACTTTTATGTAGCCTGTAAGGGTATATTTAGTTGTAAAACTATTGAGTTCAAATTGAATAAACATATGATTGGAATTCACCGGCGACGACTCATTAATTATATAATATAATTTGATGACCAAAGAGTTGTATTTTTGCATGTAAGGATCCACTTGAAGTGATCGAAAATGTAATTTGTAAGTTTGCAATTTTCTAGAAGAAACGTATTTCATATCGAATATTAAAATGCTTAAATTTGAGTTGAATAAATTTATCAAAATTTATTGTCTTATTTATGTAGTTTGTGTTGTAAGAATAATAGACAAAGAGAGAAGAGGGAAGGTTGAGATTCTCATTCATCGTTAGAATTCTTATACAAAGGTATCACCAAATATAAAGTAATTACAATACATATAAAAGGTAGTAACCTATCAATTACAATTACTACCATATATACAATAATGTCCATAATAATAATATTTATAACACTCCCCCTTGGACATTATTTGACATAATTCTGGCTTGTAAAAATTTGCTAGGAAAACCCTATGGGAAAAAACCTAGACAAAAGAGTATAAATGTATATATTCATGCCTCGTTAAAAAACTTCACTAGGAAAACCACGTGGGAAAAACCTAGTTGAAGAAAAGAGTACATGATATTTGTAAGAACATATTTTGTACTGATTGCCTCATTAAAAACCTTAACTTAAGAAAACCCTGTGGGAAAAACTTAGTTAAGGGAAAAAGAATACAACCATAACCTTCAGGGCACAATCGACATAATCTTCAGGATTTTGGGGTTTGTTTACTTAAGCAATTATTTTGCAAATTTTTCCCATTTACATTACTATATCATACTCATGTCTCGTTAAAAACCTCACTAGAAAACCCAGTGGAAAAAAACTAGTTGAGCAAAAAGAGTGCATGATGTATGTGTATTCTTTTTAGATTAGCTGCCACATTCACTACAAGAAAATTGCTCATTAGTGAGAGGTAAAACCGTCACTAAAAACTCAAAAACCATCATAAAAGACTTTTAATGACGGGAAATTTACCGTCACGACCCGTCATTATTTCTTCCGAAGTTAAAAACAAATAGTGACGGGATATGATACCATCATTAGTAAACATATAGTGATAGTATATTTACCGTCACTAAAACGTTCTTTTTGTGACAAAGAATCCCGTCACTAATACAACTACTCACTAACATAATTTCCTCTCTTTATATTATTGTAATGATGAAAAATCCCGTCATTATATTAGATTTTTCCCGTCACTAAAAATTATAATTTAGTGTTAAATATTATTTTTCTAATTTTGTATATATTGTTACTTCTCATTAAATATTAATTTTTATAACTCCCACTAATCGTTATTATGTTATGTTGTAATTATAGATATTGTGTTGGCCAAAGTAAACTCAATCAATATATTAAAAGACTTCATCATCACTACCAAAATGAAATGTTTCATACAACTTTGTAAAGACAAAAGGTAAAGAAACTAATTATAACAAATAGCCATAGTAATGTATCTATTGGCTATTTTGAAAAATGAGATGGTACAGATAAACATGTTTAGTTTAGACAAAAGCAGCCCCAAAGCAAAAATGTCTAGTCTACTTCATACAAAAAAAAAAAAAAAAAATTACTTTCTATGTGGTGTTTGGTATGCCCTTTTTCATCAATAGCTTTGCCACCTGTAAATAAAAATAATCAAGGACAATATACTCAGTATAATTGAATATGCAATTAAAGATCATGCATGCACATTTAACTCACAATTCAACCAACCCAACCAGATAGATGAAGGGCCAAGAAATACTAGTATGCAACTCAAGTTATATATTCCCAAATAAAACTCACAACTCAAGCTAAAAGACATTTATAAAACCTTAACTCAAGAAAAAATCAGCAAACTTTAAATGCAAAAGTGAAGTGAACTTACATCATTGACAGGATACATAGCTCGTGAGCACAAAGACATTCATTGAGATATTTTCACAAACACATGAGAAACAAAAACATTCTCTTATTGCAACAAAAGCCATTTCAATAGTTATTAACTCATCAAACAGAACAAAATTATAAAACTAAACCTGCAAACTTAAAATTCTTCCAATGTCAACAATTAAGCCAATTAGGCACAAAATTCCCACACTGAAGTTAGCTTTAATAATTCCACAAATCATAATGACAGCAATTGAGAACATTAAAATCAAATCTAGCAACTTGAGTAAACCATAGCGAATCAAATTAAACCTAAAAGATCAAAGTAACGAAAATTACAACAAACAAGATGATTAAATGCTAAGATTATGTTCTGAAGAGTTGTTACCTTAAGTAATATGGAAAGTTATCAAATGAAGCATCTATATCCCGTCTATCAATCATCCTTCCCTGGATGTCTTCTTTGAATACTGCACACTGAAAGACATCCCTGATGTGGATGCTTGGGTCGAATCTATGGTCCACTCTCTTTCTTCTACCTGTTCACAGATACCCAAGTAAAATTGTGTATAGAATATATCACTTTCATTAGGAAGAAAGCTAAAGGATACATAAGCATCGCTTCCCAGCAAACCAAAGATAATCTCATTGTGTCCCTATACATTTTACTTACAAGAATGTGAAACAATGGTATCAACATGAGATGGGAGACTAAGGCCAAATGCCAGCCTATAAACTGAATGTCTGAAAGTGGTTTTTATACAGAATAGTAGTTGATCTACCAAAAAAGCACACTACCCTCATAATCCCTAAACCAACAATTCTTTAATATTGCGAATACAAGAGAAGTGCCTTCAGGCATTAGTCAAGTCCATGAAACAGCACAAATGTTAAAATGCACTATTGCTAAGCATCAAGGGTACATAAGGAGAGAACTAAAGAATTGAAATTTTAAAAGCCATACCTGTGTAAGTCTTATTGTACACAAGATCCCACTAACTGTTTGGTCCTTTATTAAAAGATTTGCAGACTTGTTGGAGCCAACAGAGAAATTTGACATAGTTGAGTTCTAAGAAATAAAAAAAGAAAGAAATGAATTGCAGATGATATTATTTAGATTATTATAAGAGTGGTAATGTAATACATAGGAGTGTCAAATATTTACAAATTTTACAGCCCATTCCATATCAACAACTAATCCAGCCACATCAACAGAGATGCTACCAACAAATTTCCATAATTACAAAAATATGAACCTGGCAGGAATTAAGAGCCAAAGGATTCTTCCCTAACACTTTACCCCTATGAATCTGTAGCTTAATCAACATCCCAAGCTACCATCTCCCACCAGTCACTCTATAGCAAACCTTCCCTCGTCCCTTTCCTACTGGGCTTCTCTATGATGTCACCACTACCCACTCAGTCAAACAATACAATTCTCTGTATAAGAAAACTAGTATACATGTGAAAAAAATACAATTCTCTGTATAAGAAAACTAGTATACATGTGAAAAATAGTTTTCTTTCTTTCAAAAAACTAACAAACTTTTAATCTAATTACATTTAGCAAAACCAGTATGAGACATGATTAATCAAATAATTAGAATATTAAACTCTTCATACCTCATAAGACATTACATTTAGCAAAACCAGTATGCAACTATGCATCCCAATTCCCAGCTTTAAAGCTTTTCAAACTAACCAAATTAAACCAAGTGGACATTTATGCATATATAATAGCTCAAATTATGCAATAAACCAGATTTAGACAAAACTACATGCTGCCCATAACTATATAAGTTCAGATGCTTCCTATTAGGTTTCTTCTTATTAAACTTTATGCAGTACCTCAGCATAACACAACGGATTTAATATCTACAAAATGAATTCAATTAAAATTCACAACTTAATCTGCAAGGTAAAGTTATCAACTTTGCCAAATTCAAATATTTACAGAACAAGGAAAGACCTCAACCAATTTTTTGGTCAAAACAACACAATGCACTAATTTACAAGTTTCAAATATAGCAAATTCACTAATAAAATTACAATAAAAGAGAAACATAGGGATTTAGGGCTATAATGGGCTTAATGAAATTATGATTTAGGGACAAATGGAATTAGGAATTTAGGGATTAGGGTTTAAGATTTGAGTAATAGAACGAACCTTAGCTCAAAAGAAATGGCGATGGCAAGCGACTGTGACGGCGAAGACCCATGCGTGCACTGCTGCTGTAGGCTGTCGGAGTTGGTCGAGGAACGGCGGGAAGAGGCGGCTGTCGTGATGGATTTGGTGCGGCGGGAAGTGTATGAGCGGAGATTTGCAGCGGCGATTTTTTGTCTGAACAACGGGAAGATTATGAAGTTACTGGAGAAATACTGCAAAAAAAATAAAAACAAAAAAAAACAAAAAAAAAACACTAAATCTAAGAAATTACCTTATGGTTAGTCAATGATGATACCTGAGAAAAACCCACAAGTAATTTATGGTGAAGAGAAGGGAAATAGATAGTGAACAGAAAGAGAGATGGGGAGATAGTGAGAGCGGGTGAGATACTGAGATGCACGGGAGGTGGAAAGAGAAAAGATGAAGACGTGTGGCTATAAAATTTTATTTATAAGAGGGCGCCAACAATAAAATTTTGGTGGGAATTAAATTTGAATGAAATAATTTTTCAACATTAATAGTGAGAGTAACAACATATTTTGTACCAATAGTGAGAATATATTTTTAAAATAAGTATAAACATAAAATTTCGTCACTAAATGATAAACCTTTAGCTAGAGTAATTGTTAACCCTCACAAAAACTATGCAAATAATACATTTAGTGAGGGGTTTTTCTACCCGTCACTAATTTTTTGTCACTAAAAATGGTTTTTCTTGTAGTGATTAAAAACCTTAGATTTAAAGAAAAACCCCGTGGGGAAAAACTTAATTAAGGAAAATAGTACAGCCGTTAGTCATCTAAGACTCAATCTTCAAGATTGATTCATGTAAAATGATACTCCCCCTCAAGATAACAATCTTTAATTCCCATACATTAAATTTCCAAACTGTACAGATAAATTTTGTAAATAAATATATACAATTGTCAATTGAGTAAATATACTCTATGATAATCTCGTGACTCTTCTGGAGTTCACGTGGTATAATATTAATATCATAGTATCTAGTCAAGAGGATTTCATTATATATCCTTTTATTATTTGTGCAACACAATCTTTATTGACCATTTATGGGACAATGGGGTAAATATAGTACATCCAGTTTTGGGACTTGGCATTATGGGAATACAAAAATAATAGCCAGTACCCAAGTAGCCCATTGTATATTGGTTTGTCTAAGTATCCAATCAAAATCATATATTGGCTAACTGGTGTATAAAAATTTTTAAAGAAAAACTCGATCTTCAAGTCGAGATAATACTTAGCTTTCCCAAGCTTTTATTTCAAAATCTTCGTCTTTAGATATGGGCTAACATCATCAAGCCCTTTATATATTTCATTGATGTTTTCCACCATCAATATTAACTTAGATAATAAATAATAAATAAGTTCATTATCAACCCTTTATCGAGCACACAATGGTACATATTATTCCTTCAATGAGGATATTAACTCCATTCGCAGCCCTTTAAAGAGTAAATATAATGACACTTAAATTCTCATTTCGGGAATTATAAATCCATCAGGAATTTCTCAAAAATAAATATTAACTATTTCAGGTCCTATAAAGACCTTAATATTTTAATGTGCGATTTTCACTTTTTCTCATTTTGAGAACTTAAAATCCTTCGAGGACTTTTGAATTTAATATTAGTTGCATATCTAATTTATTATTCTGCCAATGATGTAGCGGAACTTAAAGCCATTTATCGTGGGAAAATATGTTTGATTAAAATCAATCAAGGGTATCTGCGTGAACCCATAAGACTACAAACTCGCTTTATATCATATCACCTCATTATTCTTATTTCTCTTTCGTGTACACACCCACTTGTAACCTTCGGGGTTAACTCTCAACGGTGTATTGTTATAAAGAGAATTATTAATAAGCGAGTCGAGCTATGCCTAAATTGCTCCTTTATACGTTAAATAGTCATGGCACTTCCGGTGCATAACTCTAGATCCAGATTATCATATAATGGAGCAATTTGTACAGGCTATTGTGTTGTCGACAACTATAATACTTTCATAAATCTCTCCCATATTTATAATTGTTTATGGCAATATTTAAGTCAACCAGATTCTAGACATTTCCCAGAACTTTATTCAGATCACATCTGGTTGTCCCGCATCCCTAGTATTATGTTTGTTTGGTGCACCTATAGATTGACTAGGGTTTTTCGTCATCTGGACGAACGTCTCCAAGACATAATTATTCAAGGTATAACAAGAGTGACAATGTTTATTTACTAGATCTAGTATAATGATTCTTATCTCTTACACCGATAGATCTCCTACACTTCTGACATCAAGGAGTATCGGTAGATATATTTGGTCCAAATTGGGGATGGTATATGGACCTAGTCACTCTTTTATGATCAGTATGATCAATAGATGTATTTGGCAGATTATTTGCTAATATCGCAAATATATCATCTTCTGAACTTTCAGTTCAGTCTAACTAGTACATGAATTAAATAATGAAGATATTTTTATTCTATGGAATTTCTTGGCATTCTATTAAATTTGAACTCTTATCTCCCCCTAATGCCGAGAAACAATCTTCATTAATTAAGTATGCAGTCAACGTGCCTAAGAATATGTATATTAGTCTACTATCATGTGTATATTAGAGGTACGCTGTGGTGGTGATATATTGAAATAGACTGCGCACTATAAATAATAACGCAGATAGGGAAATGTTTATTTTGAAAACATGTACTAGGTATAACAATCATAACAATCCTTGAGGGATTGATTTGTGATAATGCAGTGAGTTAGATTTGGATTTCAAACAAAAGAATATCCCCAAAACATATAATTCAATAATTTCTCCTTCACACATGCTCTATAAAATACTCATGTGGATAGAAATTGTAATATCTAACTCATTATGTTTGCCCTCAGTGACCTAATTGGTCATGCCATAATTAAAAATTGGGTCTCTAAAATGTAAAGAGTATCGCAACACAATAAGTTCTCAAAAGTATATGAAATTTACCACAAGTGGCATATAAAATCATATAGGGCAAGCATACACATTGAACAAAATGAGTGAAACATTCGACAATCTTAGGGAGATTAAACGCCAAAAGAAGTATAGATGTTGAAAAAATTATCAAATATTAAAAATTTGTTTGCTTCAGGCAAACCAACATGATGTGACTCGCTTTTGGCAGTTAAGCACATAGTATTTTTGCATAGTAGCATAGCTTTAAAAACAGAAGTTGCAAACTTCATTCACGAGTCATGAGTCATTGGTCACTCAAAGAACTACTACTGGAGTACGAGTGACAGATAAATTAACGTTATAAGTTTCCTTCTTGGCAAAACTATATTAAAAAAAATAAGTACTATCCTTTTGTTTAAATATCAAATTTCAGACTTACTTCAATGTCAAAGACTCATGTGAAACAATGCTATAATAAATTAACGCAGCCAATAAACTTGAATTATGGACAAATAATAATTGACTTTTAAATCAATACCAAGTCAATTTTATATTTGGAGAATTTATCCTAGTGCTATTATCATATAATTTGGGCAATAAATTCGCCTTCTGGGCAAAGTTATATTCAATATTTATGCTATATATCACAATATTTAGACTCATACCATCTAATTGATATCACAAGATCAAATTAAGGTTTAGCAACGACAGGTGCAACCTAACAATGAAAACCATATTGAGAATTCATGTTATTGTCTCACTTATGCATTGCATGATAAATCACAATAGTTATGGCCTATAGCAAATAATTTATTGCCAACAAGAGAAATAACAAATTCTCTTCTATGAGCCTAATCAAGAGATTATATGCCAAATGTTATCAATTAATCAACTATGCATAGGTAATATGGCTCTTACAGATGCCAATAGCCCATAATAGATATCATCATAGCATTTTAATGAATATATTAATAAAATGATTTCCAAATAAAATTAAATATTAAAACCGGGATCCAAAAATAAAATAGACAAAATGTCCATCATGAATTAAACATATTAATGTCCAAAATGGATCAGAAAACTACCAATAAAATGTTTGTAAAAGGGATAAATAAATATATAATTGTCTATCAAACAATCACATGGTGATCATTCACGATCCATAATCTTCAAGCTCGTAATGCAATAGATCATCATCATCATTATCATTAAAGGCTGAAGGCTGAGATTGCTTCAGGCAAAGTGAGTGCTTGTGCCTTCTGGGCATCAGTACTCTGTTATTTTACAAAACGAGCAAATTATGCGCATGCATTCAGGATAAAACAAGCAAATTATAAGGCAATCTCAAGATGCTGAAATTGGCAATCTCGGAATTTTTCAGGCATGCATTAGTGATCACAATAAAATTCTGAAATATAAAAACCTATAATCATTTTCAGCAAATGCAAACAGCTCAACACCAATTTATAGGGCAACACTCCAATTGGAAATCTGACTTCTATATGGAGGATCACAAATACTACAAAGTAAGTGCAAAACAAACCAAACAATCCAATATTTTGCTAAACTCAAAAGAAATTCCAGTAAATGAGGTGAACTTTTGAGAACCCTAACATATGAAAGAAGTAAACCAAATACTGCAAATGTCACCACATATTAACTTTCTTCAAATAAAGCTAAAATAATGAAATGGTAGACATTTTAATGTAGATCAAGTTCATTAGCATTGACCAAATAATTAATCAGAATCTTGGGTGCTCTGTAATTCATTCAACTCATTTACTATGAAATCACACAAAGATGTACCCAGCCCATATCATGGACAGCAGGTCTATTAGAAGCAGTAACTCATAGAGTTGGAAAGCTTTTAAACTCATTTGGTCTATTTCTCCAAAGAATTACTACTACTGTTTAAGGGGATACAAAAAAAATCAAAACGGCATAATTTTATAATAGGGTGTAAGAGCATGCAAGTGAAATTCAAGACTGTGATCCATGTAACCAGTGGTAATTCCATGTTGTCATTTTGTGTTTTACCACATGAAAAGAAAATTTTCAGCATTTTGAAAGCACAGAACATGCCATAATTGACTACATTCTTCACTTTTACTTGCACACACAATCATATCAGTTTATGAACCGTCATAAACAAGATCTCTTCTAATTTAAAGAAACACCAAAACGAGGTGCATGCAGTAAGCAAATAGTTTACCCATTTCGATATATATATGAACATAGCAGCAATATATACAAAATATATATATATGAGTAGGGTACTTAGCTCTTGATCATATAGATGATTGTTTGTTGTGCTGCAGCCGGAGTCTCCCGTTCACAGAAGCAACCTTTCCAGTTTGAGGGATCAACTCCATGGTCAACGCCACTACCAACTCCTTGGTCAGAAACATGTTCGATCGTCGGGAATTCATCGCCGATAAACAAACAGAGCATCAAGGAAGGATCAT